CACCCACAACAAAGCTAAATATAATCTTCTCCAGCACCCACGTCAGCCCTCATTGCATCCTTTTACAGGAAGCTGTAAACAAAATTGGGAGAATTTAGGACTGCACGCTGTAGGAAGGAGGGAGGAAACTTCCAGAGTTTTCGCCCAGTCACAGAGATTGTCCTGTTTTTTTATTAATCATGCAGAAGACCACACAGGAGATCCAAGTTGTCTCAGCTCTCCCAATGTGTTTGAAACTTAGTCTTTTACGTGGGAAATTGGAAGATCTACTTTTGTTAGATAGGCTGCCATTGCCAAGTATTGGTGTTCTCATGGTGGAAGGTGTTGATAAATTTTTCATTGACCTTTGAACAACTGCACAGGCAGTGCACAGGCATGAAAATGCCATTTCACTCCTTTTTAGAGAAAAATAGATTAATACCTTGAAAAATAGACACTAGTGCCAAGGCACAAGAATTTATTCCCAAACTACAGGGACAGGTGGAGTTACCAACTTGATGCAGAAAGTCTCAGACTAGACTTGTCATGTGAGTACAGTACTGGAATAAAGTCTCCCTCCCAAAAAAAAAAAAAGAGATTCAGTTTTGCGATAGCATCATCAGGATACCAAAAATGGAAAACCAGAAATCTACCTCTTGTTCATTCTTGTGTTCATGGAAGCAAGACTTTACGCATATCCTTAGTAAATAAGCAAACTTTCACCAAGAAATATTGGATTAGTGTAAACCATTTCTTACAAGCATAAAAATAACCTGTTAAAACTCTGTATTTTCAGACCATGCGTCAAGAGCATACTGAACCAAAACCACACAGCTGCAATCTTAACACGAGTAACTGAGTTGCTTTTTCTGAGGGAAGCGCTGGCAGTGTTTCCCAATAGCAGAGTCTGCTCTTGCAGACCTTCCGCGGTGGACAGAAAAGGGGCTCTGACTGCAGAATTTCAAAGAACTATTTCAAAAGCTGAGTGTTGCCAGCTAAAGTTCATGTAAGGAATTGCTAGAAGAAGCCTGTTGATCCAAGCACAGAAATATGTTTGATTTTGTCTGTTTCTGTTTATTTTTCATTTCAATATTTGGATCATTTCTATTCCTTCTATCAAATCTATCTCCACCAGGAATCTGAAGTCCATAGAAGAGGACTTATTTTTTCTAATATTAGCATAGTGCTTGGAACAATTTAACCATTCCATAGTCGGAAGTAAAATTTTAAATAATAAAGTTACAGCAGAACTATTAAAGAAAACTACAAAATAATTGCAATTTGATCAACGGGCATTCCTTTTTGAGCATTCTAGTTCAGAAATTTGCCTTTAGGAGAGGATATTTTAAAGCCAAATTGACTTGGTCGGTGTGGTGAACTCATTTCCACTAGGAAATGTCCAAGCTCAACTCTGGGGTGCTACCTTCACCACAGTGAAGGATACAGGCTGTATTAGTTTGGAATATGTACAATGTGTTCAGATATATAATATGGAGTTATATAAGCTATGGAGAAAGAATGTGGGAGGCGCATGCCAGAGAGAACAGGAGAGAAACTGAGATCCTAGCCCAGCTTTGCTAACTACTTTTAAATATTCTCCCTTCCAACCTCGAAGCTCTCTGTTCAGGCGTCACCATAGTGATGCTGCTCTCCCGGACACCTGAATCTGCCTCTTACAGCTCCTTTGACAAGTCACACAGCCAGCTGATAAATAGTTGCTTCTGGGAGGATCATTCCTTAACAGTGCTAAGGGGGGGACTTTTTCCAAAGACCCAACCTTCATTGACCCAACTGTGCATAACGCACATTTTCGCTTCCAGGACACTGCAACACAAGCAGCCCTTGCAAAGCTACCAAGACTGCAGTGAGAAATGCATTTGATGGCTGCAACTGCATTCTTGATAACTGTCTCACATTTATAAACAAAGCTGGACAAGACAGGGCAATCATGTTTTCCTGGAAACTACAAACCTATGTGTCTGGTACTGTGCCTATGTGTATTTTTTCAAAATCCATTACTTAACCTTTGATTTTAGAAACTCTTTCAGAGAAAAATAAAGATGAAAGTCCCCACGTGACTAGCTGGGCCATCTCTTTGTCTTATTTCCATCAAGAGCTCGGGGTCCATGGGGACCCCACACCCATTGATACAACTTACCAAGCAGTGTGTCTCAATACAGAGTGAGAACTGTGGGGCTTGGTGATTTCTGTTCTCCTGAATGGATGGGGTTGCCATCACCTCCTCCCTTCACATTGCTCCTGAAAGCCCTCGACACCTTTAGACTAGTGCTCCTCAATGGGTAGCGGCAAGTAAGAAAAAGAGAGCAACAGTGGTGCCAGGTCTCACCTCCTTGATGACTCCTTGGCATCTGCTGGGACTGATGCTCAACTGTCTCATGACTGATTCCCTCTGGTGTCCCTTTAGCAGAGACACAGAAAAAAAGCTTAAGTGATGAAAGGTAGGAATCATTTGCAGGATCATTTTTTGCAGGGAAAATCAATTATCTCTATGGAATTTACATTCCTTTTAAACACCCCATTTTTATGTACAACGTAGAAAGCATTCATAGCTCCTTTCTGGCATTTACTACAGATATATCACAGACACAAATGAGATGCAAGGTGAAAAGTAACACCATTTGCAGCACCTGTAAAGGAGGTGGGTGGTTGAGCAGAGCAGTCTCCTTACCATTCCAATCCATCTTAGTACTAGGCATTTCTCCTGTAGCATTTAGGATACAGACTTCCTTCTGACTAGCCTTCTCTGAGCCAAGGTTAGTTGCTTTTAGCAGTGCTGAAGCACTGTTGAAAACAGGCTGGTTTTAATATCTTAAAAAAAAAAAAGTATAAGGAGCAATGGGAAGTTGCTAGCTTATCTTTAAGTATTGGAGAAGCCCCAAAAAAAGATCAAAGTTTGATTCATGTCTGTGCTAATGACCTTAGGTAAATCATTTAGGAACTTACTTGGCAGAGATCAGCTTGCTTAATAAGATTTTCAGAATCAGGACTTCAACAAGAACCAGCGGATGCAAGGCACTGTTGAAATGCCTAAGGGGAGGAAAAGCACTTCTCAAACTGCAATGTTGACTGACAATGCTGAGCAAATGGAAATCTGGATCCAAACCCTTTGAAGAACCTCATTTTATCTTTTTGTACCTCTTTTTCTCCAAGTATAAAACAGGGAAAATAGATATTATACCAATGTTATAATGATAAATATATGATTATTTCTGAAGGTACAGATGTAAACAGAATGTATGCTGCGTAAAAAAAAAAACAAAAGTCTCAAGATTGTTTTTATTCAGAGAGTGGATTAATGGTGAGAGCAATAGGAATAGATCTGATTGAATGATTACAAAAATGTCATAAATGGATCCCCTTTTGTTGTACAAGTATTTTAAATTGAATATGCATTATTTTGTCTGTCCCTTTATGTGCTTGAATAATATTTGGAAAAATGCAACACTAGCTTTGGCACAGAAATTACTGTTGAATACAGTTATTTCATTAGTCCTCCTAATGTTACCCAGAAGAAATCTTTTCTCAAGCTAATCAATAAACTGCATATGATCAGAAAAGTAGATTGCTTATAGATCACTAACGTATGAGGAAGTTTGTTTTCCATTGACATATCACCTCTTTTTGAATGGAAAGTCTACCAAGACAGACAGCAGTTCAGACTATACACATATATTTGTACAATTGCAGAGAAAGGCCTTTAGCTTTGCATCTGACACATTACTAATTTATGAAAGAACAATACTGGAGTAAATATGAATAAAATACTACCTTTTCACACATTTTGGTGTAGCAACATTGAAATTACATGAGGATAAACAACTGTCTTGGAATAAGCATGTTAATCCATCATTCAGTGTTAAATTTTAATTGTTGTTTATTTCAATATCTTAGTGTTAAGTATTCCTAAATTATAAATAACCCTGCAGTATAGTCATTATATATGCTGTGTTAAGGAAAAGGTAAGTACAGAAATAAATTATTCAAGTGATCTATTTAAATATTACCATGCTTGATTTATCTAAGGAGCTGGAGGTCAAGGCTGCCACTTTGTCATATCTGAAGAGACATTGACAAGGAGTTTACAGACAAATGATGCATCTATATTGCATAAGTAGACTTTGCGTGTATAAACTGAGTCACAAAATTGTTCACAATATTATCTTAACTCTAAAGTTTGCTTTTTCTTCTTCTAAAGTCATTACCAAAATGTTTTGACTTTAGTAAAACAAGTACATATATCACTGTTCTGTTCTTCCCTTGATCCAAGCACCAAAGCATGAATAACATTAAAACAAGCAAGTCCAACCATAGGCATTTTCTTGCCCTAAGCAACTATCAAGTACAAGATTCTCCCTTGTCATGTCTCTTCCTTTCTTCTTTTTTTTTGTTTTGTTTTGTTTTTTGTTTTGTCTCAGTTTGCTTGCAGGAGAAACTTGGTGCCTGAAGAAGGATTGGTTTCATGATTAAGACATAGGACGGAGAGCCAGGTTCAATTTACAGCTTTGTAAAGCTGTAAGCACCATGATCACATCCAAACTTTATTGCAAATGGTCTCTGTCCCTTGTTTGTCTGTGAGCCATGCCTAGACACTGTCTAGTTGGCCTGGGTCAAAACCATGCCAGGGTTACAATCAGGTTAACAATTAGATGGGATGAACCATAACATGGTCTTGTTTACTTTTCTGATTTAGTCCTAGCCTCTGTTCCCACATGGTAACACAGGGTTTCTCCTTCATCTCCTGAGGTCTATGGTCTTTGAGTATGGATGTCGTTGTGGATGTTTAGTTATGTCATTGTGGATGTTTACTTAGTAATCAGTTATGGAACATATAAGACAAGGAACTCTATGAGAGTGCAGGACAAAGACATTTCTTATAATCTATGCCATTTAACAACATTTTAGCACTACTTTCAAAGGTTTTTTGATAAAAATGTTCTAACAACTCACATCTCATTTTACCTTTTTAATTCTTTTCATCTCTCCTTTAGAGATCCAGTCTTGTTGGCTTGTTCTTCACTTGCTTGTGGGACAGTACTTTAAATCTGTCTATGGATCAGAAGGACTGAAGAGCACTTTTGCTCCCACCACCAATGTTTCTTAGAGCTGCTAAAACAGGACCAATGAAGATGTTTACCAGGCTCCAAGTCCTTGCCCTAGCTTTGTTTTCCAAAGGGGTCTTCCTTTCCCTAAGTGACCACAGTTTTGTAAGAAAAGAGATTAAGATAGAAGGAGACCTGGTCTTAGGTGGTTTATTTCCAATCAACGAAAAAGGCACCGGGATAGAAGAATGTGGGAGAATCAATGAGGACCGAGGCATCCAGCGCTTGGAGGCTATGTTGTTTGCCATTGATGAAATTAACAGAGACAACTACTTGCTGCCAGGAATTAAGCTTGGAGTTCACATTTTGGACACATGTTCCCGGGATACATATGCCTTAGAACAGTCTCTGGAGTTTGTGAGGGCATCTTTGACTAAAGTGGATGAAACAGAGTATATGTGCCCTGATGGCTCATACGCCATTCAAGAGAATTTACCGTTACTCATTGCAGGCGTCATAGGTGGTTCCTATAGCAGCGTCTCCATACAGGTAAGTCACTTCAATAGTTGTTCCTTCAGGTGAGAATCATTCATCTGTAATTCCTGTGAGAGAAATACCAGTTATACAGGATGGACAAAAAGCAAGTCTCAATTCAATCAGTTTACTCTAGGGGTTAATCTAGCATAAGATTTATTTTTTGCTGAATTTGTTTCATTTTGATTAATTAATTGTTCCCTCCTTATGACATATTCTAACTGCAGTTTTGGTTTTGCAGTTTTTTGGTTTTCTATTAAAAAAAAAAGATCTCAGCAAGGTGGTTTGGAGTGTTTAATGGACTGTGATGGTGTAAGGTTCGCAGAAGGGTTCAATGTTCAATGTATCCTTCAAACCATGCATCTTTTGCAGGCTTGTTCTCAGTTTTGTGGGGCTAAACATAACGTTGATTCTTTCTAGTCTTAATTTCCCATGTTTTTAAACTCACAATAAAACTTTGGTTCCTTGACTTTTTTTTTCCATTAAATGAACTCAAAGAACGCACATGCCCTCTTTTTTTCTGCAGACATTCTGAATTTCTCCTCTCCACTCTCGATATTTCTATGTCAGTGCATATTCTAAAGCACCTGATCGCTGCCCAGTATGGCCAAATGATTTTGACCTACAATATGTGGCCTGCAGTGGACCATGCAGGACATATTCTTTACTGTGGCTTTACACTGGGTGTGTGGCTCTGATTACACAGAGCAAAAAGATCAAGTAAGCTTCAAGGCTCGAAAAGAGACATCTGAAGCAAATAAATGAAAACTACAAAATCTTGAGTAGTATGAAGAGAGCATTAGGGAAATCTTTCACTGTCTCTTCCAAGCTAACAATGGGCACAGTGAATGGAAGCAGCCATGACAGTCTTAAATCAAAGAAATGAAGATGGTTATTCACACTATATGCTAAACTGTGAGATCACTTCACAGAATGCTGTGGATGTTAAATATTTTATGCATTCAAAAAAGAGTAAGAAAAGAACATAAATTTCTGCAGAGAAACCACCTGTATCTCAGGAATCCCCAGAGCTGCAGATAATTCAAGACTATGACATTTTTGTTTTAAGAAAGAAATATTACATTTTTAGATGTTCGATCCTTTGTGTGCTCAGTCTATTTCTCAGCCCACCCAAAATGCTAGTGTGTGCAAAGAACATAAAGTAGCCTAAAAGAAATATCCATAAAGTAATTAGCACTAAAGAACTATCCCTTCCACCAAAAGAATTCACAAGGCAGTCCATATCACATTCCTAAAATGTCCTGGGCCATCTTACACAATATCTGTTAATCTCCCCATTTGATCCCAGTCTCTGATGGTAACTGAGGAAAGATTTAATCCGTGTTTGAGATGTGAGACTGGATGCAATATGATGATAATCTATACCATTGTCTCAAATTCCAAAAGCTTGGATTTCCAAAAGCAGCTATCATTTGAAAATTGGAGCTCCTGCTTTTTTTATTCTTAATCAGGAGAAATAGCAAGTGCCAATATAGCTGAATATATATTTGTGTATCAGCTGATTTTCGCAACTTACCAGGGATGTTGAAACAACAGTAATGTCTATTATTATTCAACATGACTATCCCATGGTTGACAATAGTTGCTCAAACATCAGGTCTTTCTTATACTGTTCCTTGAAAGAGTACAGAAACAGATTTATAAATTACTCCATGTGTCATCCAGTGTATTTCCTGCTAAAAAAGAGCTATTCAGCTGATGCTTCATCCTTGACATAGATTGGCCTAGCCCTTATCCAGTCTCTCTTCTCTAGCTTTCCTCTAGATTTTAAACTAGCTAGAAGAGATTTGATAAAGCTATTCTTTCTTTCCATTCATCTTCTTAAGATAGCCAGACATAATCCATGATTTAAGAAAAAATCCCTGTTGAGAATAATACCAATCACAGAATCACACATGGATAGGTTCGGATTTCAAAGCGCTAATGTCACCAACTTTAGTGTCGCTCAAAATTCATAGGTAGTCAGTATGAAGATACTCCTGTAATAACTAGATTTGCACCACCCCTAAACATCAAAGCACTTTAATAACTGTGTGTACGAAGTGGACCATTCCCTGTTCTCTGTGTTTTCAAATAATACTAGGGGTGCTGGGTACATTCAGATGTAGCCCTCACAAGTACTTCTACCCGAGAGCTGTAAAAATCATGAAGTCCACAACACAGTTTCTCAGCCTTAAAATAAACCATGCTGAGCTCTTCAGACAAGAAATTATTTCTGCCTTTTTTTTCCTCCGGTGAATTTGCTGTTGTATTTCAATATCTCCTCTTCCCCTCCTTTCACCCTCCCTCTCCAGATTTCCGTGTGGACAGCTGTCTGCCAAATCACTTCATGATGTTCCTGCTGTCAGATTTCTGCTTCTTTCATTATCCTTCCACCAAGGAAAAAAAATTGCTGGTAAATCAGCAACAAACACCTTCCCCACTGAGTCAGTATGCGCAATAGGCAATTTTTGCAGAGAGTAAAAACAACAAGAGAATGTAGAATGCTTAATTATTTTCTGGTCAGACTAGGCTATTATTGTTAATGAAGATCTGGATAATTAGTTTTTAGATGCTGTGTTTAAATTAGCAGTGGGTCCAATCTGCACAGCACTTGATCTCTCAAAACCTAAGCCAGGCTTCTCAGTCAACGGAAAGACTCATGTTAAAAATAATTTTTCATGGTAGAAAATTTTGACCTGAGCTGAATCTGGGATCAGAGGTGATTTTTCCAAAGTTCACAGAACTTTTTTTTCATTATTCATTTTTTTCTGTTGAGCAACATTATTCAGTGTCATCTAGTTTACAACACAATTTTCAAACATATTTTCCATGTTCATTTTCCATGTCCATATTCACAGAAATTGTAACAAGGATTTTTAAAAAAAATGATTTATTATTTCACATAGGAGCACCTGTATAGTAAATGCAAATGCCATGTGTAAAATACTCATCATCTCTGTCAGGAATAGGTAAGGATATGGCTGTTCAAGTGCTGAATATTTCACCCATAATCCTATCTCTGAAAACTGGACCTGTTCTTGCAGTCAGTCTCTCTTTTGCAGAAAAAAAAAAATAGACATTCTCTGAGGTCAACAGAGCTTTGTATTTCCATATCCACCATATTAATGGTAGTGCAGGGCTTGAGCCCAATGTAAAGCTTCTTCTGTGCTGTAGATCCACAGATCACAGTCATGAGGGTTATTCCCTATTTAGATGGAGCTTCCTTCATTAAAAATAGTCAGAATAGAAATCACTGCTCATCCCGCTTCTGTTGAATTTCTTACTGGGTCTGAAACAAGCAGAGAACATTCAGAGGTGTGAGGGTGCATTACTGTTACCAGAACAGCTAAGGTCTCTCGCCTATGTGAATGACCATCTGGCATGAAGCTCAGAAAAAGTGCTCATTTACTAAAAATCTTTTCCTAGCTGTCAGTTCTTTTCAGACGCAAAAATCTGCCAGGGGTTCATTGAGCCTGAAAGCTAATCATCATTTTCTTCCTCCAAAAATAAACCATATCCCAAACAGAGGACATTAGCAATAGCCTGTGACTTTCCAAATTATTCAAAATAGTGCAAAATCCTTCGAAGAACTACATGCATTAAGGTCCTCTGTGGGTGTCTCTGCCCCAGTGCTCACACACAGCAGGGTTATGGGTAGGAAATACATATACGATGATGAGGTACCGAGGGTCCTCAGGTGACCACAGAGCATGTATGTCTTTTGTGCCAAGCTTGTAGAGGAGCTTTTGCATTCATCTGTGCAACAACAGCCTCAGGTGATTTCATGCTTGTAGAACTAAACCAGATCCTTATTAGAATATCTATTTTGCAAGATGGGCCACCTGCCACTAGCATTAAGCTACACATACACATGCTGACTTTCCTGGTGTCTCCTTCAAACTCACCTTTCACCTCCATTCTTTATTTCTTTCCTCTGTTCCTCCAGCCAGGTCCTTGCTGTTTGCCCTTCTCCTTGTTTTTATTCCACTTTCCAAAACTAAACATCCATTAGGCTGAGATGTTTGATTTCTACAGATTTCAAAGAAATGTAGGTATCTCCTTCTGGCTGACTTGTCTGGAAATCCCAAGCAGTTCCCTAACTATCTGCAACAATTTGGTTAATTGGTTTTCTTATATGAGCATTTGCTCCTATTTCCAAAGGGAAATGGTGTGGTTATACAGGCCTGGGGAAGTAACTCACAAGGTTACAGGCAAGAATGATGGAGCCTTTCTGATGCCCTGCAAGTGATAAAGAGTGTGACTACATGAGAAAATTGCCCGACATATGAACTAGTTGGCATCGTGGCATTACCCACACTCATTCTGCCCTTCTGACTAGAACTTAGGTAGCAGTTAACATGCATTTTAAACAATCATGTTTAACAACAATGTTGTTAACGTCCAGTACGTCCAACGTTTTACATCCAGTAGTAAAGTCCTATTCTTTCAGGACTATCAATCCCTGTTTTAGACCCCTTTCTCAAGAAATATGTCATCATGTGCAAGTGTGACATGAGTCATTTATCATCAAATTTCCTGTTCTTGGTGAAGTGTCGCACTCCTCCCCTGTAGAGCAAGATTTTCTGTACAGCTCTCTTATCGATGTGCTGGTTTCGTTTATTTCCCCTCAATAGTTAATGCTGTATGAATGCAGAGTACGTATATAAAAACTCACTGTGCTTTCCCCAGCAGCAAAAAAAAAAAAACCCTTTCTCTTACAGTACATTTCTCTCCACATCCTTCTTGGTTTAGGTTTGATTACACCCAACACATACAAAAACAAGTTCCTGGGTCCTCCACAGAAATCCCAGCTGTTATTCTGACAGTATTCCCAATTGATGACACTCATTTACTAGATGAAATTATTTCATTGTTCAAGCACTGCTTCTCTAGATGTGACAGCTATTGAGTCCACTGTGAATATTCAGCTACATTTTTCCAGCTTCATTGCCAAAATTCTCAGCAGAAGGAGAAGACTGAAAACACTGCTATATTGCTCCCTCCCACCCAAA